TCAGCCTCCTGATGAGTCGGTGAAACTCTGACGAAACAGTTTGTCACAGCCCCTCGTTTGTTGTCCTCTTCTCTCTCTCTGCCTACGGTTTACCAGGCTGTTCTGTTTGTGACGATATATAATATTATATATATTTGACGATATATATATTTAAGTTAGTAATTTAACGAGATATATATATGTTCTCCCTCTCTGCCTACGCTTTACCGGGCAGTTCTGTTTGAACTTTGACGATATATGTGTACATTTTTCAGAAATGTGTGAACTCCACACGGTCAGTGGTTCTGTTTCTTTTGTTTTTTTTTTGAAGGGATGTTCACGTGTGGTTGTTTTGCGTGTTTGTTGTGCACAGTAAGTCTCGGAAACTGTTGAGAAAGCTGGGAGCAAAGCACAGAGCGCGCACCTGTGTAACTGAATCATCATCTTGATTCAACTTAATTTGATATATCTGGAGTTCAAACTTCAAACTTTGCACTTCAGATTGTTTGTAAAATTTTAACATATAACTTTGCCAAAGATTTCCACCTACTCCTTTGCTCCACGTTTATCTGAAGAAGAGACACAATGAGAGGGTACATAGTACTTACTCTCCCCATATGGGGGAAAGGGGGAGACAGGGGGGAAGTTAGTATCTAATTCTCTAAGGCCATGGTGGTGGAAGGGAAAAAAAAAGGGGAAAAAACCATTGGTGATGATCTGTGGAACTATCGCTGAACCTGCCATGAACAAACCATCAACCATCCATCCGGGGAACCTCCATGACTCTACAATGTCTACATCATTCTCTCTGAAAGGGAAAAAAAAGGGGAAAAAAAGGAAAGAAAAACGAAAAAAAGGAAAAAAAAAGGAAAGAAGAAGGAAAAAAAAAGGGAAAGAAAAGGAGAAGTATGCTAGGCACAGACTTGGTCTTCTGTTGACATTTTGTAAATGTGTGTATTCTCTGCATTCCGATTCCTAGAAGTTCAAGAAGAACTGGATGACAATTTTCTTTTTCTTTCTTTCTCCATGATGTCCTTTTCTTTTTACTATATCCTGTTTGCAGGGTGAGGAGGGATATTACTCAATCGCTCAGTCTCAGGAATCCTGTTACAATCATATCGTCATTTGACAGACCAAATCTGTTCTACGGAGTGAAGACTTTCAACAGGGTAACCCCTCAGCCTAACCTGATCCTCTTTCTGTGTACTATTTCGCTTTTTTTTTTTTTTTTTTTTTTTTAATTTGCAGTCCTTATATTCCACCAGTACTTGTGCAAGTGGTATGGCTTGGTCAAGAGTCTCGGACTATACAAACAACATTCACTGGATGTCTGTGCTTTTGATCTGAGTGGTTTCTTGAACAAGTCCAAGGAGTGGGAAACGGGGAGCGAGACTGATCATTGAGTTGTGGTGGAAGGACACAAAAAAATGGATAGAAGATGAGAGTGGGGGCTGCGTGTGTGTGTGTGTGTGTGTGTGTGTGTGTGTGTGNNGAGAGAGAGAGAGAGAGAGAGAGAGAGAGAGAGAGAGAGAGAGAGAGAGAGAGAGAGAGAGAGAGAGAGAGAGAGAGAGAGTGGCTGTGTCGATTTTGACCTGCCTCACTTCTGGAACTTCGATTTTTTTTTAACATTTTGCTACTGTGCAGTCTCAAGTTTCGAGGCTCTTGGACCTTCTAACTTTGGCTTCGAGTCTTTGAATTGTTGCCGTAACATGTCATTGTCGCATATTTTGTGGTCCATGTGATACTCAAATCTCCATTCTAGTGTACATTGCACATTCACTCTTCATCCAGTTGGTATCATTGAACTTTCAAGGGAGTCCTTGGAGATGTTCAGGTGTCGGCGATAGGAGGTGATTGAGAGTCAGCAAAGGTTTTCATTGAGGTGCTGCCAAGGGTAAGGAAGGTTGTGTTTGGCGTAATTATGAGTCGTTGATGAACCGGAACTTTGTTTGTGGGATGAGGTGACTGGGAGTAATCAATCCACTCTCATCTTTGTCCTTATATACTAAGATACATTTCTAATTTCTAATCCAAGTGCGAGGAATGAGCCCTCACGGGGCCCTTATCAGACATGCAAGTGGTCTGGGCTGTGGCCCCCAGCAAGCCCTGTGCCCGCCCTAAGTGAATGCGGGCCTGAATATCCACGAGAGGCCTACTTTGGACATCTTTTCCTTACGTCGGGTATCAGACAATTGCAGCACACCAGTTGGTTACAGAGCAACGTGAGCCTCTCCTGGTTCTTTCCAGAAGAGCAGCATTTTCGTCACACGTGCACCACGAGTCAATGAGAATGTGGCACACACTTGGAACCTGGACGGCTACCTGGATGTGCCCAACTGTAAAGGGCCCAGGCCCGTAACAGCAAAAGTGGGCCTGGGCGCAGACACTGGGGCCTGACTGGAAGCTACTGGAAACTTGTCCAGCCAGGCCAGCGCAGCCGAACACAGGGGGCCGCACTTTCCAGAAAGGAAAGTGCCCTGCCCAGGCAGGGGCATTCTGGCCCAGGCAGGCATAGTGGCCACACTGCTGTAAAGGGCCCAGGCCCGTAACAGCAAAAGTGGGCCTGGGCGCAGACACTGGGGCCTGACTGGAAGCTACTGGAAACTCGTCCAGCCAGGACAGCACAGCCGAACACAGGGGGCCGCACTTTCCAGAAAGGAAAGTGCCCTGCCCAGGCAGGCATAGTGGCCACACTGCTGCATTGCCAAGCGCTGCTGCGGTAGCGCTAGGTAGCCGGCCAGGGGGCACGCAGGCGCAGAGAGGTGAGAGGGCGCTGCGGTGCCAGCAGGCGCACGGTGACCATTTCAGGGCCGAGCGTGCGGAGGCAGGTGATGGCGATGGTGGTCTTCGGGTAGGAGGCGCATGCAGAGGGGACACAAGGTGTGATGAGGGGAGGAGAGAGAGCATTCCTGGTGTATGCTGGCGGTCGGCATTGGTGATGACGTTATGTACATTGGTCTTCAACTTCGATGTGATCCAGATGCGAGATTGTAGATAGGTGTAGACATGCTGAGTAGTGTAGGCTGGGCGCTGGGCGCCAGACAGTAGGAGCGAAATTGAATACTGTGTTGGTGTGGCCAGAGAGCGTCGACATTGGCATATGAGTTCATTGTATTGCTCTTATTTGGATGGTATCTTGGTGCATTGTGCTCTCTGCTTGGTACATGACTATCTGTGCTACTCCGTGATTTTGCAATCTGGATTTCTGTCTATCTCTCTCGCTCATATTCCTTGCACATGCAATAACTCAGCTCAGATATGCACCAGCCGTGGGCTGTGGGTCGTCACTTTTGGTCGAAGGCCCGAAACGGGGGTCAAAGGTCACGCCCAAGTCATGAAAACGCCTTCCCAAAGGCCTACTGCTGTGGGGTACCGAAGGCAAGGCCAAAACTGGCCTTCAGAGACCCAACGAGAGACAGCTGACCTTGGGAAAGTCAACAGTCAACCTTAGCTCGGGAATTCAGGCCCACGAGTCAAAGTCAACAGGAACCTGGCCTCAGCCGTAGATCAGGCACACACCTTTGGTTGTGTGCAGGTATCCGGAGTGAATCAAGACCAAGTGGAAATTTGGAACTGTATGAAATCCAGGCCATTGGCTAACAGATGATCTGGGCCATGGTCTCCGAGAGACCAGAGGCTGGTCAACAGGAGTCAACACTATATGTTGATCCAGCCCCTTCCGGTGGGCATTCAGTCTTGCACATGCTGCTGGACGCTGGCTTGACGCTGGCTCTACTCTGGCTTGACGCTGATGCGACGACGCAGGACTGCCAGAGCTTTGTGCTGGCGCCATTTTCTGTCTACGGCGCCAGCTGTGCACTTGATTACGCTGATGTGGCTCTCGCCACACTGTCTACGACATTGATGGAGTACGGGCGAGGAGGAGGAGGAGCGGGGCTGTGAGATTGGTCTAATGTGGAAGGGAAGCTTACCTGATCGTGTCCGTGTCGACATTGCACATTGCTGTACGTCTTCAGGAGGAATCTGCGCCATCCTCTCTCGCTGCTGCTGATGTGGCTGGGGAATGGGCGCCATGCTGTAATCACAGGGGAGACTGTTTGCTGACGTGGCAAGTGGGGAGGTGCCCGGAGAGGAAGTGGGCTTGCGAGGGAGATGTATCTTCTGCCCTCTAAGTCTTATCTCCCTCTCCTCAGCTTCTTCTCTGGTTACGAGACATTGTACTACTTGATTTCATGTATGATTTTTGGGACATTGATTCTGCGCTGAGACATTCTGTATTCGACTTTGACGAGCTTTCCACTTGACTGGGTTCATTGCACACAAGTCCTGGATAGGTGAAAAACCTGATTGTCTTAATCCTCTGCCATCGGAGGCGTCCCTGCCAGAAACACCTGCCCTGACAATGCAGTAAAACCTTGCATCCAATAGACCAGCTGAGAAAAGTGCAAGCCTCGTCGAGTAATGGTACTTGGTGAATCCCACCGATCGCACTAATGCGGTACGATACATCTAATGCGTGCTTGAGGGATCTTTCGTTTGTGGCTCTTCTACCAAATCTTTGAAATATGGTTCATTTATGATGGGTATGATTGGTACTGTTTCCGGAACTACCACTCAGCGGTGACTGATCTTTGAACTGATGGCCTATCATTTGGGGGTGCTGCTATCCCCTCCCTTCTCTCAAGTCGCTAGCGATTTCCTTCCACTTTTGCATGGGATGAAGGTGATCGCAGCTGTCACATTCCCTTTCAATGACTCAGCTTGCATGTGTGTCAATCATTCATTCACTCAAAGCTGCTTTTTTTAGGGGGGAGGGGGGGGGGTAATCTTAGGGAACGCATTCAAAAGTTTTCTGATCATGACTTGAGGTCACGTTTACTAGTCCGACTGCAGATCTGGACATTTAAGAATGTAACTAAGTTTAAGGATGAGTTCATGGTACTTCATACATGTGATGGAATTTGGCGTACAAAACATGGAGGAGGTTCTGAGTGCACGGATGGATGGATGGTTTGTGTCGCAGGCGGTCTAGTCATCCAAGAATTTGTTTGTGTATGTGTTTTGCTGGGGGAAGAGCGGAGAGGGGGGGGGGGGGTTGCAGGATGAGGCATGTGAGGAGTTCAGTGGTGGTTTCGAGCATAGGAGATTGTCCGCACTTACGAGAAAGGATATGGGTTGGATGTTTGGTTGTTTAGGGTGAAAGGGTGTGTTGTGTCTGAGGGTTTGGGAGGTGGAGGTGGTTCTGTTTGTGTGTGTTCATGTGTGTGTTCAGGAGGAAGTGTGGCTGGTGAAAGAGTAGAGGGGGGGGTGGGCAGTGTGGGGGGTGAGGGGTGTAGGGAATTTGTGGGTGGGTTTGAGCATAGGAGATTGTCGGCACTTACGAGAAAGGATATGGGTGGGTGTTTGGTTGTTTGGGCCGGAAGTGTATGTGGTGTCTGAGGGTCTGGGAGAGGTGGTGGTGGTTCTGTGTGTGTATGTGTGCTCATGTGTGTTCAGGAGGACGTGCGACTGCATCCATACGGCGAGGATTGGATTATGTGCACCGTCAGATCATGTGAGGTCGGTCATTTTGTATATGAGGACGAATGGGGATGAGTACCATGATTTGTGTGATGGGGATTGTGTTCGATATTTGTCTGGGAGTTTGGGAGAGGTCGTATGTGGGCTTCGAGCTGGCTGCATTTTGCTTCCATCATATAGACAGCTGCATTTCGCGCAGAGCTGGCAGCCGAAGTATCCAAGGATGTGGGAGGTGGAGGATCAACCATCATCTACTGTACAAGCATCAAGGACGTACAGGAAGTTGTCGACGCCCTAGCAACGGTGCAGGTCGATGCACGCCCCTACCATGGGCAGATGAGTGCCAGAGTGCGCACAGATGTCCATAGAGCTTTTGCAACCGATCAACTGCAAGTTATTGTTGCAACAGTTGCATTTGGCATGGTGAGCACTGCGTCGCTAAATCCTACTGTAACTCCCGTCATCCTCGTGTGCTACTTTATGCTCCTGAATCCCACCCTCTTCCTGCTTGTTTTTGCTCCCGAGTCCCAGCCGCCCCCCCGCTTCTGTGTCCCAGTTGCCTCCTGCTTATGAGTCCCAGCTTCTTCTGCATTTTCGAGTCCCAGCCTCCCCCTCCTTCTGAGTTCCAGCTGCCTTCTTCTTTTGAGTCCCAGCTTCCTCAGCCTCTGAGTCCCACTTCCTCCTGCTTCTGAATCCCAGCCTCCTCCTGCTTGGTTGTGCTCCTCTTTTGTGAGGACTGCGTCACTAAATCCTACCCTGATACCTATCATCCTCGTGTGCTTCGTTATGCTCCTGAATCCCCCCCTCTTCCTGCTTTTTTTGCACTGAGTCCCAGCCTCCCCCCCCGCTTCTGTGTCTCAGTTGCCTCCTGCTTACGACTCTTAGCTTCCTTCGCTTTTTTGAGTCCCAGTTTCTCCTGCTTCTGAGTCTCAGCCTCCCCCTCCTCCGAGTCCCAGCTGCCTTCTGCTTTTGAGTCCCAACTTCCTCAGCCTCTGAATCCCACTTTCTCCTGCTTCTGAATCCCAGCCTCCTTCTGCTTGATCGTGCTCCTGAGTCCCGCCCCCCTCCCGCGTCTTCCTAGCCATTGTGTCCCACTCCCCTCCTGCTCCTTTCTACTCCTGAGTCCCAGCCTCCCCAGCCAACCCCCCCACCGACGCCCCCCTCCCGCTGCCCACCTCCCCGTTTCTTACCACAGCCTCCCCCGGATTCTGAGCCCAGTGACATCCTGCTGTTATGAACATGATTGTCCGTTGAAATTTTATCAACGCTCACTCACTGAAACTCCTGTACACGCCCATACATGCACAGAAGGAAGGGGAGAGGTAGTGGAGTGTCACACCGCCCAACACAAGGAACACAGCGGAAGACTCAGAGGAGCGAAGTGACAGGATACACAACACTGAATTCTCTCCACACAAATCCCAACAATCATTCATAGAAGACAACCGAGTGATCACAGCCGGAACTCAATGAAGAGACGACAACTCAAACACAGTATTACCACTGTTTATTAAACTCAGAGCATCGTTCCACTGAATAACCTCAGAACCCTGTTGCGCTTCCCTCAGAGGGGTAGCGCCTCAATCCCACACACACCGAACAGCTAAAAATAGCACCACAACCCCAGGTAACACACAGTGCCACCCCAACTCAGTGGCCTGCGCCAAGATGAAACAGGCTCCCAGAGCCAATCGCCACTCAGATGATGAGGAAGAAGCTCAGCACCAACAGTCTCTGATGAAGATGAAGTCCAGACGATGATAATCTCTGAGAAGATTGCAGCTATGGCTGCATCACCACTGGGACCCTATCCCTGAGGAGGGTCAGCAGTGCACCACGTGCTCCAACGCATCAGACCTCTGATAGCCCAGACCGCTTTGACTCCCGTAGAGTCAGAGCGGACAGCGTTGACCCCAGTCTGGTCAGCGCTCCGAAGGTCTGGCTATGTCCGCCGTCTCCCATGCATGAATCAGTCACCACGACCTGATGCAGCGGGCGCAGCAACTTCCACCACGAAGTGTCAACTGCCAAAAGCCCTGGACCGATGCTCTCAACCTATCTATACTCTACCCTGGCCTAGACTCGACCTAGACCGGACTGACTGACCGACCGGTACCGTTTCTGTTTCGGCCCCTTGGGCCTCTCCCTACCCGGCTATAGGCTATAGGACCGTCTATCAGCATAGGCCCTTAGGGCCTATCTGTCCTAGGGGTAGCCCGGGTCTGCTATTCGCAGTTAGGGTAGCTGTAGGAAATTCGAGTTAGTACTGGGCCTATATTTTCCCATATTTACAGATATGTCCCTCACGAATTTTCCTTACAGGTAGGTCTCTCGGTTAGCCCTCAGCCAAACAAAATTACGAATCTGTCCCTACCTATAGTACAGTCTCGTCAGAGAGAGGCTACAGGCAACCTGGAACCAGCAAGTCATTGCACTGCTCCCCTCTTCCTGCCTCTGAGTCCCAGCTTTCTCCCTACTCTGAGTCCGGCTTCTTAGCAGCAACACCCTATGTATTATTTATTATGTGTATTTAGTTTTGTTTCACAAACAACCTTCTATCACTTAGGGAACGTTTTTCTACTGACCCTGAATTTTGTTGGTTTCTCCTTTTTTTGGAATGTATACTTTCAACAGGGGATTGACAAGCCAGATATCCGTCGTATCATACATTATGGATGCCCTAAGAGTCTTGAAGCCTATTACCAGGAGAGCGGTCGTGCAGGTGAGTATGTCGATTGATGTGTAGATTAACACGTGTGTGTGTGTGTGTGTGTGTGTGTGTGTGTGTGTGTGCGTGTGCGTGTGTGTGTGTGTGGTATATCTTCTAGGCATTTCAGTGTATCTTCTTTGCTGGAGCTTACTGTCTTCCTCTGAATAGAGCAAACAGCCATTATAGACGTATTTGGGTGAACTTTCAGCCTAGGTACAGTGATAACGACCATATGTTCTCTTCGGCTGAAGGTGGTAGTCTCTGCAAACTGAACTTTGCAATCACTGTGATATGGAATGAGGGGCTACGGTCTCTTTGGCCTAAACCCTAAACCCTAGACCCATTTTTGCATGTGTTTATTGGTCTGTATTACTTCGTACGTTTGTGTATTAATTTCAATTTTGAACCTTGAAGACGCTCCACAACATGCTATTGATCTTCTTCTCACTTCCATCCCTATATAATGATAGTATAATCCTATTTTGAAGCTTGAGTCGCATAATTATTAATTATTAATGAAGGCTTTTCCTCTCTCTTGTTTTTTTGTTTTGTTTTGTTTTTTTCATTCAGTGACTTAGCACATGATGATTACCTGCCATGTCATTTATGTACAGGACGAGATGGATTAGAGGCAACCTGCCAGCTGTACTTCACACGTGGTGACGTGGCAAAAGCCGACTTCTATACAAGGGATGCAACAACGGTAAGCGTGATGTTTTTTACATCATTTGCGTACTTCTAATGCAAACTCTTAGTGTCTACCGATGGGAGGCCCTGGTGCTGTTTAATTTAGAATCTTAGTATGCCTTTGTGTTCTCTTGTTTTCATTTTCTTCTTTCCTTTTTTTTTCTTTAAAAATAATAAAAAAGAAAAACAAGAGAGACAACCTGACGTGGCTTGAGCCTCGGTCTTGTGGATCATTTCTGATCTGCACCAGTCCTTCAGATTGTTCCAGCAAACAACAAGTAATTTGCACACCGCCGCTGAAATCCCGGTCTGGCCGTCCTCGGCGTATTTTCCACGCTGTTTCCCCCAGAGGCATCTGGGCGCCAACGGAGTTTTATCCGCAAAGACAGTCAAATTCTTACACGCTTTCGCACCTCTTCCAAAGTTTCCGAACTCGATGGCGCCAATTTTTCAGCCGAGTCTTCCGCCCAAATCCAACCTTTACTTTTGGTGCCAGAGCTCTCTTTTGCATTTTCAAAGCTCCAACTGAATGACGCTGATCTGTTCAGTTTGGGTTTGTTCGGAGTCTTCGGAGCTAACCCTTGGCTAACAGCGGTTATAGATGGCAAGGGAGCTCAGCACTGTTCACTCATCTTGGGATGAACCGAACCAAACTTACCAAAGTTCATCCTTAATGTTACGAGTTCACATGTGCTGAGGGATTCTTTGCGTCAGCAGTCCTGCCCTGCCCTCTCTCTCTCTCTCTCTCTCTCTCTCTCTCTCTCTCTCTCTCTCTCTCTCTCTCTCTCTCTCTCTCTCTCATTTCTCTCTCTCTCTCTCTGTGATTCCTCTCGTCCTGTTGGGTCGAGGTTGTTTGAGAGTGGAGTCTCTCTTGGCCCAGAATGACGTCGGTACCGGTCTGGTTACACGGCATGAGTCTTATTTTCTAACATTTTTGGAAGCTTGAACTCACGCATGATTTATCAATCAACAGTTATCGGTGTGTCCTCTCGGGTTGACATCCAGCTAGCTATCTTCTTTGGCAGTGAATATTCAAATCGATCGAGATCATTAAAGAGAACTCCTAGAAATGAAGAGTTGTAATATTTGCAGCTTGGCACAAAGCACTTTTATTGTGTAAGGTGTGTGTATGATTTTGCATGTCCTCTGATTCCCTGCCTCCCTTCTCGCCTTTCCCCCTCCTTCCCCTGTTCTCCCCCCCCTTCCATGCTCCGCTCCCCTGATGTGATCTGTCTATGCTGTACCTTCTTTTCCTCCCCTTTTGTTAATTCTTCTTCTTCTTCTTCTTCTTCTTCTTCTTCTTCTTCTTCTTCTTCTTCTTCTTTTCCCCTTCTGTTCCTTTTCTTTAACTCTTTATTATCTGGTATGGCTGTGATCTCATCCTTGATTCCTTTAGAATATTCCATAGGAAAGCGACAAACGGCCAGTAACGAGAAAAGTCAATGATGGTTGCCTCTAGCAAATGACGTGTGAACAAACTCACCAGTGATGCTGAGCTGTCAGTGTTAAAGGATGATAAGTGTTAGGGATCATGCTGAGCTGTCACTGATGAAAATGATGCCGAGCCGTCAGTGCTAGAGAATGACAGCTCATAGGGCTGGTGGTGTTGAGATTGATAACCATTGGCAGGTACACGCTGGACGTGCCCAGCGGGTGAGCGGTACCAATCCAATGGGCATGCACAGCTGTGCAAGTTCGAAGCTTTCACCATTGGATTGGTACCGCTCACCCGCTGGGCACGTCCGGGGTTTGAACCCTTGACGTGCAGATCAACAGGTAAAAGCTTCAAACTTTGCACGTCAAGGGTTCAAACCTCGGAATAACGTCGACACTGTTGACCTGCAGGTTAGGGGCTCAAAGCTCATTGTCATTCAAGTGACCATAAAATTTGAGTACTGTTAGTAATGAAGGAGTTTTGTAGTGACTACTGAGTTTTCTAGTGACTCCTGAGTTTTCTAGTGACTCCCGAGTTTTCTGCCAAAGAAATGGATAAACAAGGTGGTGCTTCTAATCGGTTGGGGTACTTCTAATCGAGTGGGGTACCTTTAATCGATTGGTAATTTGGTATGTTTACTATGTTACTATGTTTTGAATTGTTTTCCCTTTTTTTTTTTTTTTTCGTGGTGTGGTTTTCTTCTTCTGCATCATTAGATTTCGTTTTGAGTAGTTTCTGTTGCTCTGCAGCTGCAATTTTTTGTCCTATATTTGTCGAGCTGTTGTCATTCTGAAATCGCTCACATGTGATGGTCGAGCCCTTTGTAATCATTTCGCTTCTCTTCTGGTGCTTGTACATAGCCAGCGAGACGGGAGGCAATAATGCAAGCTTTCATGGCAGCACAAAGATATTGTTCAATTTCAACTTGTAGACGTGTTCACATCCTTCGCTATTTTGGCGAGTCCATAGATTATGAAAACTGTGGTAAGTAAATGGCGTAACTAATTGATTGTCCCTTCAGATACTTTTTGTGTTCCCTTACTGCCCTCCTCTCATTTCTCTCTCTCTCTCTCTCTCTCTCTCTCTCTCTCTCTCTCTCTCTCTCTCTCTCTCTCTCCCCCCCTTCCCTCTCTCTCTCGCTCGCTCGCTCCCTCTGTGTCCATCTGGCTGGCTGGCTGCCTGCCTGCCTGCCTGCCTGCCTGCCTGGCTGGCTGGCTGGCTGGCTGCCTGGCTGACTGGCTGCCTGGCTGGCTGACTGGCTGGCTGCCCGGCTGGCTGACTGGCTGGCTGACTGGCTGGCTGCCTGGCTGGCTGCCTGGCTGGCTGCCTGGCTGCCTGCCTGGTTGGGTGCCTGGCTGCCTGCCTGGCTGCCTGCTTGGCTGGCTGGCTAGCTGGCTGCCTGGCTGGCTGCCTGGCTGCCTGGCTGGCCGGCCGGGTCTGTGTCTCTCTATGTCTCTGTGTCTCTGTGTCGCTGTCTCTCTGTCTCTGTCTGTCTCTCTGTCTGTCTCTCTGTCTCTCTGTCTGTCTCTCTCTCTGTCTCCCCCCTCTCTCTCTCCCCCCCTTCCTCGCTCCCTCTCTCTCTGTCTCGCTCTCTCTCTCTGTCTGTC